GGTGACGGCGACGTCGGTGAAACGCGGGCGAATCTCAAACGGGCAGCGGAGGTACCCGCCCTTGCGGGAGGTGAGGGGGGGGGCGACGACGGGGCGCCGCCGCGGATCCGCCGCGTCGGGATCGTTTCGGCGGAACATTCGCGAGAAACACACGGCCACGCGTGAGGGGGGGGGGCGTCGAAGACGAACAGAAAGCACCAAGGAAAATATATAAAAAAAAAGAAAAAAAAAGTCCTCGCGAGTGTGCTTGGAAAAACGGGTCTGGACTGGAAGGGGAAAGGGAAAAGTCAAAGAGGAGGAGGAGAAGGGGAAGCCACCGAGGCGCATGACTGGGGAAGGGGCCGATGTGGAAACGTCGGAACGTTGGAGGCATTGAAAGGGAAGCAACCAGGAAAAGAAAGGTTCAGACGACTTAGAGAGAGAACGTTTTGACGGTGTCCCCGATTTTAACATCACCGCGGTGGGAATGAAGGGGAAGAGAAATAAAGGGCTCATGGCTCTATATTTTCTCCTCATACTTGAGCTTGGCGAGCTCCTCGGTTAAGTATTCGATCTCGATGACATCCCCGTCGCGTGCGCGTCGTACGGCATGCACCCCGCGCTTCGTGCGATCGAGCAGAATCAGCACGTTTGCCCACCCATTCAAACCGCTGTAAATATGAGTCGCGTAGACGATCGTCACCCCACGGCACGCGCTCTCCAGGTACAAAAATTTAAGCAACGCGTAGCGCTGATTCACGTCGAGGTCGGCCGTGGCCTCGTCCAGGAGCACAACTGGCTTGTCTTCAAGCAAATAGAGCAAGATCTGCACGCGCCGTTGCTCCCCGGAGGAGATACAACTCACCTCCCAGTCGAGGTTCACCGCGAGCACCTCACAAAGCCATTTCGCCCTGCGGGTGTTCAGCGATAGGATCTCGCGCACATAGACCTCGCCTCTCGGTGCCTTCGTCCACCAATCCCCGCCGTAGGCAACCTGCGAGAGAAACGTCATATCATCGTAGCAGGTCTTCCCCATAATCTGCAACGCCTTGGAGGCGTTGTTGAAGTACTGCTTTCCGCCAAGCATGTTTAGCAGCGTCGACTTGCCGCTTCCGTTGCACCCGCAGAGCAAGACGCGCTCGCCGCGGTAGACGGAGAAGTTCATGTGGTGAAACACCTCCTTAAACGACAGATCCGAGCAAATAATCGCCTCGGCCCCCCTATCCCCCGCACCAAAGGGCAGCCGGGGCGATTGGTCGTTAACGTAACTCGGGGATTCCGCGAAGATATCCTGCCATTGTTGGAGCTCGTCATGTGGAATGCCATCTTTGCCGTAGCGCTCAAACGGCTCCGGGCTCGTGAGGATTGACAGCGCCCCTCTCTTCGTATCGCGCGCTGGCGAGGCCCCTCGTTTGCCGTTAAACCCCTCGCCTTCCCCAGCGTCGGGGTGGAGCATGAAATCCAGCGCGAGCTGCTCCAGCGAGACCGAAATGTCCTTCACGGCGAGGAAATCCACCACGCGGCCGTCTTTCATGAGCAAAACGTGTGTGGCCCAGTCGTCAAGGCGATCCATGATGTGCGTCGCGTACAGGCAGCAGCCGCCGTTCGCCACGCACTCCTCCCGCACGAGCGCGAGCACCGTCTGCCGCTCCACGATGTCGAGATCCGTGCTGCACTCGTCGAGCAAATACACCTTCGCGGGGCGGAGCATCCCGTGGAGGATCTGCACCCGACGCTTCTCGCCGGTGCTCATCCGATCGACGGGGCGATCCAATCGGAGGTGCAGCGCCTCCGCGAGGGCGGCCTTTCGCAACGGAAATGGCGCCTCCGAGGCGATGCGGTCGACGCTGCAGCCGAAATACGCCTCCGGCGGCCACGTCTCGCCGATAAACGCGATGTCGCCGCTCAGCGAGGTCTCCTGGAAGGGATCCCGCCCGCCGAGGGCGCGAACCCGCCCGGATTTCGCCAGCCGTTTCCCCGCGATGATCGAAAGAAGGGTGGATTTGCCGCTGCCGTTGTGGCCGATCACCACCACCCGCTCGCCCGCGTGCACCCGGAAGGAGACCCCGGATAGAGAAAATTTGCCATCCAGGGAGGGGTCCTTGTGGAGTTGCCAGAAGAGGGATCTCGAGTAGGTATCCTTCGCGTGCTGAAAGAAAACATCTTGCAGATCGATTAACACATCCGACGATGACGAAGATGGGTCCTTATTCATCTCCATCGAATAGGGAGGGGAGGGAAAGTTTCAAGCTCTGCCGAAGCGGAAGATAATAAAATAATAGATGTGTTTCCAATTATTCAAAGACCAGTCCTCCCTTGGTCCTTAAAAAGAGTTAAACTAATCTATTATAAATATATATAAATATATAAATATACATATATATATATATATAAAGAGAGAGAGAGAGAGAGAACGATATAGATATTTATAAATCACTTATAAACTTGAGCTTCAAGTACTTAATATATTTTCTCAAAATCAAGCCTAAACTTGCTCTTTATAGTGCTTTTGAAGGAGATAACTCAGAATACGGAAAAATATCTGAACTTCGATGGAAACAAAAAGAGGAAATTGAATGAAATAAACACAGTGTAAGTAGATATCTCGTTTGGTCCTTCCCCGGTTGCTTTTAAAAGCCAAACCAATCGAATAAAAATTAGACCATCCTTATTTCCCGACACAAACAAGCTAACTTTACCAAGTATCTAAAGGAGCGATAAAATTAAACGGTAAAGCTAAGCATATAGAAACAAATAAAACACAGGACAAATCAGCTCCGAGTGAGGTCGAGCTCATTTCAGGAATATTTTTTTTCTCTTTTCACAACAAATTATAAATACACATATATAAATATATATCGATATATATATAGATATCTATATATGAGGAGGAGCAAACGCCCCAAGACTCCAGTCCTCTTATCACAACAACTGTGACCTTGAGATGGGCGCTTGTACGGTGTTCTCGCAACATTCGCGCGAATAAACACGCGTTGACCCCTCCTTTCCCCTTCCCCCAGTGGCCACTATGAAGGCAACGTGGCGCCGTTCAGAGCACGCGGCGGGGAAAAGGCGAAGCCGATCCAAGAGCGGATGTCGCGATATCCTCCGCATCCGAGGAATCCAGAATGTATATATGCTGCATAGCGGATTCATGCACGACGTAGACGGGGGTATCAAAGAGCAACGCGTCGATTGGAACGACAACCAGTTGCGAGCTGAGAATAACGGCCGTCTGCCGCTCGAGTGCGCGCGTGCAGGGGTTTTGCTGCAGGAAGGAGTGTTTGATCTCGTAAAGCTGGAGCGTCACCATCGCGGGCGCGAAGGGGGAGGATTCCAGCGCGAAAAAGAGCTCCTGCGACGCGGCAGGGGGCCGCTCCGAGAGGGCAACCACGCGACCGAGCGCGATTTGCGGCGCAAATCGCCCTCCCCCTCCGCCATTCGTCTCCCCGAGGGCGGCAGGCAGGCGAAAGTAGTAATCCTCGCCCGCCACCACCGATGGGAAGAGGGGGAGCAACGCCGGGGAGGAGGCGGTTCGGCCCGCGAGGCAGATCCGACCCGCCCCTCGCGAGGGCTGCCGGCGTGGCAGCGGAAACACCACCCCCTCCCTCTCCCCCTCTGC